TACATAAATAAAATTAAAACAAAATAGTTGATAATAATCTTTTATAAATATAATAATCAAGCCCCAAATTCATTAACACACATGGCCCAGCCCACTATCAGAACTCAAATCCATTTACTAACCCCGTCAGTTTACAATACATCTTCAATTCTTCATCGTCTTTCATATCTCACCACTCGCATAAAGTAGACCAAAAAAAAAAAATTGAAATAATATTCTTCTCCTCCTAAGCTACAAAACCACATCATGAATTTGAAGTTAAAATTCTCTTAAGGGCATAGCACTGATAACATACGAAGAAACACCCACCACATGAGCATGGGTCGCGGGCGGATGAGCAAAAGTACCATACCTGTAGAATACCATAAGATGACACCCGCACACCGATCTCGCTTCCTCGATTCTTCGCAATCGCTGCACTCACACACCGATCTCGCAATCGCTGCACTCACACATCGATCTCGCAATCGCCGGCGCCGGATGGAAGATGTCCCGTTCACCGTTGCAGAGCTTGAAAGAACAAGGGTGAGAATAGAGGGGTTTGAAACTTGCAGATTACAAATTAACATAGTCTATCAATTAGGAGAGCTCGTCTATTTTGTGAGAGAAGAAAAGTGAGATTTATACCGGTTCTAACAAGTCCAACAATGAATTTCAATTTTTTTTTTTTGGGCTGTGTTTTTGTTTTGTTGGGCTAATTCAAGGCTAACAAGAAATTTACACGGGGCTATTTCACAATAACAATCTCATAAGTAAATTAACTTCTTTCTATATTTTTTTTTTACCTGGGGCTGGAGCCCACCCTAGCCCATGGGTGGCTCCGCCCCTGGTCCGAGTTACCAAGGAACTGCTCACCCGAGCTAATTGAGTCCAACTAACTTAAGCTACTTGGGACTTATTAACTCGACCTGATTGTAGCCGGTTTACCCGAGATACACTATGTGCAATACCATCTAGCTCGTCTCCTTATTATCTATCAAACGAGATACAATTTTTCGAGCTCAATGACTTGTTTGATAGTATCCATAATAATTGTCAGCTTGAAGAAGTCATACCCAACCTAGACTCATGATGACATACCTCGTAAGTTGCGCTTGTCTTTTCGCATGTCCCATCTGTCAGACTCCTCGTATTCCGTACCAAGAGCTCGAATCTAGGCCCTTTTAATTTATCATGATCTAATGATTGATTAGGTATGCCCTTTTCTTATAAAATCCTGCCTCTTCCTCCTGTTTCATTTTTCTGCAACTTCGAGTTCCTGTCTCCCCTGAAAATCCCTAAAATTCTCTGTAATTTCGGGCTATTTGTCACCATCTCTGGAGAAAGACTTGCAACTCTTATTCTCCACGAGGCTATCAAGTGAGAAACTCCTACTGCTATTGAGCACCATCGGCTGAAGAAAGAATTGCAAGTAGAGACTGCCAAGGCAGAGGCGCGAGCTTGAGATGGCCAAGAGCTCCCTGGGTCAGGTTGAGCAAAAAAAGGTTGCACTGGCCCGGCTGTCAGAGGCCAACAAAACATGGAGGCCCTTCAGGATTCCCAAACTGGGACCATCCTCATGAAAGGCAAGGAACACGAGGTCGAGGTCGAGAGTCTCAAAGAGCAGGCTGCTGCTCGGGAAGCAACAACTTGCCAAGAGACCAGAGGTGATTTCTTCTCTTCATTGCCTGGAGCTTGATTTCTCGATACGTGCTTAGATGAGCTGTCGGATTTCTCTAGTCTCTCGTCCACGCAACTAAGCAACATCTAAAGCTCGGTGCTGAGAGGACTCGCGAGCAGACCAAGCCTGGCGGCTATAGCGAAGACTTCGATGAAGTAGCTCTGATGGCTGATCACCCTGATCCCGAAGGTTGGTCGGAAAACCCTGAGCTCCCTCTAGACCATCCCTGGTGGGAGACTGCGTCAGAGACGGTCTTTTAAGAGCTTGATTTAGATGAAGAGATCGATCCTGATGGTGGTAACCATGCCGCGAAAAACCCCGAGGAACTGGCTGCTTTCTTGGAGCATGCTGATTGATTTAAACACCTACTTGTACTTTATATAAATATTGTACTTTTGCTTTTATTGTAGCTCCATCAGTTAAAACTGTTTTGGACTTCTTTTTGTAATGAACCTTATGTTGCCATCTCTATTATGTCCCTTATTGTCAAATTATAATAGCTTGTTCGCAGTTTCACTATTACATAATTATCAAGTTTAAATAGCTCACTCGGGCTATAACCAAATTAGCTCAAATAACTCTTTCAAAACATAACTATTAAATAATCATCCAGTTTAAAGCGCTTGCTCGAGCTATAATCATATTAATCAAGATTATTTAGCTCGTTCACAACTTTACTATTAAATAATCATCAAGTTTAAATAGCTCGCTCCAACTATGATCATATTAATCAAGCTCAAATAGCTCGTTCACAATATCACTATTGTTGGATTGTGGTATCAAAACGTAGAAGACAATAGACATGATTAAGGTTTGCATATTTCTCAATATTCACCGTAATACAATGTGTGAACTCTTATAGGAGATATGATGAGAAAGATAAGGAAAGAAATACAAAGGGAAAGAATAATTCTAATTGATCTAATCTTGATTCAGTCTTGATCTCTTTCCTTATTAAATTGATCTCCAAATCTTGTCCTTTCCAATACTCCCCCTCAAGTTAATTAACGGGATTCCCGATATTTAACTTGCCGAGAATACTTGTGAAACTTCTGGAGTCAACAGCCTTGGTAAGAACATCTGCAAGCTGATCCTTCGAGGGCACGAAAGGGAGAGCAATCACTCCTTTTTCAATATTCTCCTTTATGAAGTGCCTATCAACTTCCACATGTTTGGTTCGATCATGCTGGAGGGGATTCTCTGAGATACTTATTGCCGCTTTATTGTCGCACAACAACCGACACGTCCTTCCAGAATACAAGCCCAATTCCATCATCAACTTCCTAAGCCACAACACTTCAGTAATCCCACTCTTGATTCCACGAAATTCGGTTTCTGCACTGGATAGAGCTACTACCTTCTGCTTTTTGGTCTTCCAGGAAACCAAATTTCCCCCCACAAACGCGAAATAACCAGCAGTCGACTTTCTATCAACAGGATTTCCAGCCCAATCGGCATCAGTGTAGGCATGGATCTCCATATTGTCTGACCTTTTGAAGAACACACCATAGTCAAACGTCCCCTTTAAGTACTTAACAATCCTCAATGCTGCCATCATATGATTGGGTTGAGGATGATGCATGAATTGACTCACAACTCCAACTGCATACGAAATGTCGGGGCGTGTATGAGAGAGATAAATCAACCGTCCCACAAGTCGCTGATATTGCCCTCGATCTACAAGCTCTACCCCTTCTTCGATCCGAAGTCCATGGTTCACAGCAATAGGAGTTGCTACAGGCTTGCAATCTAGCAAGCCAA